ACAAAAATAGTAATAATATTATCCATTCTCATTTTCATAATATCCATCATTGCATTGCTCAATTGATTTTACTTAAGCTCATCTCCACATTAAGAATTGCAAACATTCTAAATAAGATACCTTACGAATTCAAATTTTTCACAAATTCCTTATTACCAATCTATACATTCATAACAGCCATCATTATAATTTTCATTAAATTATTCTTTACGTATGATTATTCCATCTCGAAAAAATGGTTTGCAGTTATGATCAATCACCCAACCATAATTTTCACTATCATAACAAATACCTTATTAGCAAAGAATGCACATATCTGCTCTAAATCTTAAATAACAATGCCATTTCCACAAATTGTTTTACAGTTTTTATTAATTAAAATCAAATAAAATAAGATACCTATAAATGCCAACCATCTCCTCTACACTCATAGCAGGTCTCAAATCTACAATCTGAGCCTATTAAAATTATCTCATAAAGAGCATTTCATTCTTTATTTATATTGTTTAATTTAGAGAAAAGATAAATATTACTAATATTCTTAGTTCAAACCTATTAAAAGAGTTAATACCAGAGTTAGATGAATTGATATACATTTAAGAAAATTATATAATCAAAAATAAACATCAATAACTCAAGATTGAGAAGTTATCGATAATATCACCTTTAAATAAAGTAATATATTATTTTTATAATATAGTTTTTCTGCTGTATTGTTTTTCCAATTTAAATCAAAATAATCTATAAATCATATAATTTTTAATAGGTAAGCTGTTGAGAGAAAGATAAAAAAGGAATTGTATTTAAACCAATAGTCCATTTACATAGACTCATTATTATCTTTGATTAATTGAAAATAATTTAAAATTTTCACTTATTTCCTAACCCTCTACATTAATTGTATTAGTTATAATACATTTTTAAATCAAAAATAACTGAATCATATTTTTTAGGGTAGTTATCTCTTAATAAGAATACTTTTCAAATTCTCTAACATATAATTTATTAGATATAATTTTTAATAGAAAATATTAACTCAAACTATATGCTAGGCTTTAAATTTTAGTAATGCCCCTATTATTCCTATGTCAATTTCAACTTATTGTAATAGCAACTTAATTATGAAAATTTTGGAGATACTCAGATAGATCATGAACAATAGATGATAGAGTATTTTATTGATGGATCCAGATGTCTAAGATTGTAAGATCTAATATACTCAATAGTAAGACAATTATTTACTAATTTAGGAAGTTAAATTCACCAAATTTCATTTAGGATAACTATTGGTTCTTTTTTAAAAAATATTAGAAAAAATTTTTTAGATGGAACAATAAGAATTAGAACATAACTTTTTAGATTAGACTAGAATATGGTTAACTCTGGAATAAAACAGTCCACCTTTAAAGATAACATATCAGACAATTCAATATAAAATAAATTTTACAGGTTATTAATGTAAATTATATGAAAATGATCTTGATGAATCAATAAAAGCATCTGAAAAAATATTAATAATAATTTCTAGTATTTTATAAGAATTTAAGGAAAAAAGAATTGCTTGTAATAATGATAATACAAATTTATAAAAAATTGTTAATGAAATTTATGATCCAATAATTTAGTAATGTTAAAAAGGTGGAATTATTGAGACAACTAATATAATAATTAATCTTCTATAAAAATTTTAATATGAAAATACATTCTAAACTATCAGCTTTGATGATAAATATTTAGATTATTATTCTTATTCTCTAAGAGATTATAGATTAACAGATATTAAATTAGAGTTGGATGAATTCATTAATACATATGGATAATACGGAAAACAATTAGAATCAATTCTATTGCTAAAAGTAAAGAAAATCGGTCAGAATTTGGATAATTTTTATAGTCCTAAGAATGAATTTGAGAATCAAGAAATTGAAAATTTTTTAAATCTAGAAAAACAGTTCACCTAACAGAATATTAAAGAGATAGCAACATTCGTTGAAATATTAACTGATAATTCAATTGAAAACAATTTAAGTCAATACAAATTTTAAATTTCTCCAGATGACAGAAAAATAATTTATGATAGCATTTAAACTAGGGTAAGAGATTAAAAATTATTTAAATATTTTGAAACCTATCCTATGATTTTTATCTAAAATAGATTCAGGTTTTAGGATAACTTAAGATTTATTTATTAAAATTTAATAAAAGAAATTGCCGAGTAGGAAGTAGAGTTATATGTTGAATTATAAATTCTAATGTTGATTGATGAATTGATTTGAAAGGATGAAAATTATATAAAAAATAAAAGGTTATTAATTTAATTAACAATTAATATTACTAGTCAAATATTGACTTAAATCACTATTAATAATTGTATGAAATGAAGTAGAAAAGTAATTAATATTTATAGTTTTCTCTCATAATTTCATTTCATTTAATTATCTGGAATTTCAAATTCTAATACACAGTCCAATTTAGAAGAGAATTAAATTTAGTTGAAATTTACTCCAATATGTAATTTAGTCATTTCAATTATTCTACTTTCTCAAGTATCCTCCGAGCATCTCTGTTGTATCCTTCAATATACGAGATTAATGAATACTAATGCTAAATATCTAGAGATTTAAACTGGTAAATGTTTTATAAAACAAAATTACTTTAAATGAATTATATATATAATATTTAGTTTATTTTTATAAATTATTAGCTAATTACATTAATAGACCAGAATCATAGATAATGACCTAAAGGATCAGAAAGTGAAGTTACATATTAAGCCAAGAAAGTTATTCACATAAGAGAGAGTATAAGTTTATTATTTTTTTATAACTATCTTCTATTAAAACTATCTAACTTCTTCTCCAAAATTTTAAGTTAAAAATATTTTTATGGTGATTTTGTTTAATTCAATTGAGTAAATTTGATAAATTAAATGATTATACTTCTGAATCGTATCATCAAAAATCTATAATTGTATTTGTAAAATAATTGCCTCTAACTCTATTACTTTATAATTCATCATTTGTAAATCCAATTTTTAATTTTAAATTTAAGTTTTTAGAAATTATTCTATTAATTATTACAAATATGGCTCTATTGTAGAGGTAAATTTATTCTTTTTGCACCGAAATCAATTTAGTTATGATCACCTATTTTATTGAGATTTAATAAGCTTTAATTGAATAGTTGATAGGCTTTGTATATTTTGATATTAACTTTTGTTGGTATATAATAGTATATAATTTTATTCTATTAAAACATTTTAAATTTGAAGCTTGAAGCGATTTAAATTAAATAATTAAATAATTTTATGTCAAGAGGGCCCTACCAATAACGACATTAGATATTAGTGCTTTAATAAAATGTAAAATAAGAGGAAGCACTTATTGAGTTTTACGTATATTAGGACCTATAAAATCTCATTAATTTATTATTTTCAAGGGAAGCAGTACTAGAACATCTTTAGAATGATTAGAATAATCCAATGGTTACTTTGAGTAATAACAAAGTTATTTTATAATTCAATTTATCAAGTGGAATTCATCAAGATTTAAAAAATTAATATCAACATAATCGTTAATTATCAGATAAATTAAGATCTGAAAAAATGATTGCATTAAGAACACTCAACTATGTAGTTAAGTTAGATATTAAAATAACTAATAAGAATTCTTATATGATCCAATCAGAAATTATTTAAAGTAATTTATATTAAATTATGAATTGGACTAATCTAATCAATTTTAATTATAGAAAACTAATTATTAAGTTTAATTTAATGAGTAAGTTTTATCAAAAGTTTTATCCTCAATGCAAACTATTGATTCCTAGACAAATTAGTTAAGATAGAATGGCAACTATTAGAAACCAACACATGAAGAATTAATAGGAAGAGCAAAGTAATTGTCTATTTTATTTTAGAGACTATTATCATATGACTATGGAAAAGTTGAATTAAAATTATTCACTCAATGACTAAAAATTTCAAGATTAGGAAAGCCAATTTATAAACATAGGAAATACAAAATAATTCACCTCACCAAATAACTAAATATTTTCCAACAACATTTAATAATTAAATCCTCGACTGTCGGAATGTAATATTTTAAACATAGGAAAACCAGAATAATTAAAATCATCAAATTCATAATAAGAGCAATATATTACAGAATTGGATTATAATAATAAAAAAAATAAATTAATTGAGTTTTTTTAATTGTTAGGATAATTTAGTTAAACAGGAACTCAATCATTTTTTGATTAAGAATTAAGTGAATTTTATCAACAAGTAAAAAATATAGTTACATAAGATAAATATTTATCTTATCCTGAAATATAGTTTGCACTAAAATTATTACAATTACGTATTTTAGAACAAAATATATAATTATATTATTATTTGAATTGTTCTGTCATTATTTAGTTTATACGAAAGGTTACTAAAGTAATTAGACATTTTAAGAATTTGTCAAGAATAATGAAAATAAAAAGAAAATTGAAAGTGTTTTTTAATATTTGTTTGATCAAAAAAATTTGATTGAACAAAATTACGCTTAAAATGCTTAGATGAATAATCTTTAAATACCAGTTAATAATGAAGGAATTACAAAAAATAAAAGAATTTTAGAAGAAGATTATATTTGGTTAATGTATAATGGCTTTTGTGGTTTTTATAAGATTAATATAAATTGATTAATTATTATGCTGAACAATATAAAAAATTATACAAAATTTAATCTTATTA